GTGTCCTGAAAGACGGGATACATGGAACCCTACACCGAGCGTAGCCGATACGCTCTTCATCATCATCAGCCTATAAGTGCCCACTGCTGAGCAAAGGTCTCTTCTCACACGGAGAAGGTTTGAGCATTAATCACCACGCTTGCACAATGCGGGTTGGCGATTTCCAATTTATAATTAGAAATTACAAGTCCAAGTTTCCTCACGATGTTTACCTTCACCATATGTCAGTGGTGTCTAAATAATTATAGAAAGTACATATAAATCAGAAAAAGTCACATTGGTACTTGCCAGGTTTCGACCCATGCCCTCATGCATGAGAAGCGGACTCCTTAACCTCCGGTAAGCTCCGATACGCTCTTGTTTTTTTTAAAGGGGGTAAATAGCATCTCATAAATAAATCTAATAATATCATATCATCAGACTGATTTTACCCGGGAAGATGTGTCAGACTCTTACTGACTAAAAACCACCCTGTTCTTTCTCCTGTTCCAGACACAACTCTAAAAAAATAACATTGATACTTGCCAGGATTGCCCAGTCTCATGCATGAGAAGCTGGCGCCGCCGCCGAGCCACTCCATTCAAATAGATATAATAAGCTGGCGTTACTAAGACTGTAATTAAGCTACCTGACGATTTGAAGGATTTAACCTCTTAACTAATAATAATATTGTCGTTTTGTTAATCCTTTCCTTGTTGACAACTTAACTCTTGTACAATGCATAAGCTGCTTAAGTCTAGAGTCTAGTTTAAAAAACTCCTTTGTAGAATACAACTTGACGATTATCGCACTCAGTCCACTGGTTCAGGTACCCCACCTTGATAAAATTATGGAATTTTAATTAAGTCTTGGTTAGAAAATACTTTTGGTGAATGGACAAATCGTACCCATTAAGTTTAATTAATAATACTTACGGCATACGTTTAAAGTGTAAAAAACACGTTTTAAGTGTAGGAGAGACATGCTTCGGCACGATTGGGTCGGCTTGACCGGAGTGATACCACGGCCTCACAGAATACCAGCGTGAAACAACCGCAGCGTTGGGTTTCGTCGTGTGAGTGATGAATATCGGAAGCCAAATCTCTCCCTCTTGCCTATCCTTTCCCAATCTTTAAATATCCCTTATCTCTAAAAGGCCGGTAACGCACTCGTAACTCCTTTGGTGTTGTGGATATCCATGGGCGGCGCCGATTGCTTACCATCAGGTTATCCGTCTGGTTGTTAGCCGACCTATACCATATAAAATAAAATAAAATAATACGTAGCTATATTGCTTATACAGGGTGTACGGTAATGAATAGATAAACTTGAAATGCCTTTTAGGTTTATATGTATAACATCTATTTAATCGTGGAGAAAATAAATTTAGTAGACGGGTCGCCAAACAGGGTGTCCAATAATTAATGGCTAAGTTTATTAAATCTTATGAGGACATTAGAAAAAAATGCAAAACATAAAAAATCACTACGTAGTAGGTATCCTAAATTATGCATATTTTAAACAATATTCTATTTTAACTCAATTCCAAAAGGTCTATTTTTATGTAAGTTAGGCACCGTCTTCAAATCATATTGTGATCTACACATATTTGATTTGTCTAACAATTGTTAAAACTTATTGTACTTCTCATAGCACGACGCGACACTTGTAAATCTAAATCCATTCATCACCTTAACTTATTACATCGACCAATCAAAACAACAAGGCGGGGTTTAAGAGGGAGACAGGGACGTGTCATTTGTGAGCGTGTGAGAGAGACAGAGTATTTAGGAGGGTTCCTCTTTGAAGCGGGCGTAGAGGAAGCGGTGGACGTACTTTTCAGTAAATGTCTCAGTCATAGTTTGCAATTTGACTGACAAACGCGCGATCGGATACCGATCACAGCGAATAACTATTTACGCGAAACTTAAAAATATATTTAGTGATTAACAGTGTTATAAATAGTGTTTGAACTCTTCAAATTCGAGTTTTTTTTTTCTATATAAGATTTATTTTGTTTTTGTTGTTTTTAATTTATAAATGTATTGAATGATAAGTGCAGTGTTAAGTGGTCGAAATGTCAGAAACTGGTCGCCGCGGTACAGCCTACACTATTGATAATATACTCGGACACACAGACAGACAACCAGGTATGTTAGTGTTAATATTTTTGACCGCTATAGTCGGCTATAGAAGACTAACAAAAAAAAGACTAATTTCGCCAATCGTCGTTCGTCAATTTGTCCAGCATAGCCGACTGGAAAACATCTATAATATTAAGTTTGTTGACTATAATAGCTTACCCTGGCGGTCAAAGTACATTTGAAGTAAAGGTTTTAGAAAAAAATTACGCTTGCGCCTTTTTTGGTTTCTCTTTTATTAAAATTAAAAAACTTACAAGATTTTTCTAATAGTTAAACTAAATACATATTATCGGCCTCATTACAAAACAAGGTACCTATTTCTTTAGTCTTGTCTAAACCATTGAGCCAGTTTTTGTATTTCGAATTGAAGGTAGGTGAGAATAAGATTGAAAATACAAAACCTGACTCTAAAGTTTAAATTTAGACTAAAAAGATAAATCTAGTTTTGTAATAAGGTGGGATAAGTATAATGTTATTTATAATAGGTCTTTACCTATGAAATTGCCGTTGTGCAGTACTGGCCATTTCAAATCAAAATAGCTTTTGTTAGGCTAAGGCTAATTAATTTTGTTTTAAAAACATGGGATTCTTTTTCCAAAAGTAGTCATTTGTTTATTGATTAATGATACATTTTCATCGCATTTCAAATCAAAAAATTCGTTTATATTTTTTCATGCAAAACGGCAATTTCATACGTTAAGACCTACCTATCCTACTTTAATGCTATTTTTACTTAACTTACTTTCAGTAATTAATTTCGTTAGAAAATTATTATTCATTATAATAGATATTGATTTGAATGATCATGTGACGTGTATAGTTTTGTACCTACCTACATTACCAACTACATAACAAAGCCGTCTCGTAAAGACCTCTTACTCCAAACTTCGCTTTGATTTAAGTCAATAAAAATATGAGTTTCTTCCGAAAAAAATACGGTGTTATATAATTAAGGGCTGATTTTTCAATAGTTAGATAAAAGTTATCTGCGGAAAAATTATGATGCTGTCGCGTCTATATTGATTATGAAGATTAAACATTTAGGGCTGATTTTTCAATAGTGACATAAATTTTAGGAATAAAATTGTTGCTGTCACTGTCTTATACAAACATTCTGACGCGACAGCATCATAATTATTCCGCAGATAACTTTAATCTAACCATTGGAAAACGAGCCCTTAAATAAAGTGAAAAATTCGTTTATGACAAAATAAAAAATACAGTGTTATATGTTTTATTACATTTTTAATCTTCATAGCCTCTCATAATCTAACAGTTAATTGAACTTTATTATCTTTTATATGACATAACAAAATGGCTGAAAAAATCTAGTTTCGAACTATGATAATTAGTATGTTTTTTTTTAGTAATTTCTATGGCATTATGAAGTTATTTGTTTAAACTATAAAATGTTTTAAATAGAAACTTCTCGATTTGACACGGTAGGCAAGGTCATCACTTTTCCATAACAAATAGTTTCTAAAAAGTGAAATACTTATTTTATGATATCACCAGATGGTAAAAATCATAATAAAGTGATCAAGTATAAGAAAATTTGTTTGCGATAGTTATCCTATACAAAAGACATCAACGAGAACTTACATTGAGTTCAAATTGCAATGAATCGCCCGACTATTAATAATACATACCTACAACCTTTGTTTCAAATTACAATACATTTTTATTTTTTGACTGCACGATTGAAGCCTGTCTGGGTATCCGTTACAAGGTATTGCGGGTTCAATTTCCGTGTCAGTCTGTTCGTCATTGCAGTTTGTAGTCGTTGCTTAGTGTAGACCTATACCTAGGTTCGGTTCACTCCATGAGCAAGTCGTTATCCTCAATTAATAGTTTTTTTACCTTTAGAAATGGTAGAAGTAAGGAAGACATCTCCTAACGATGTGAAATATCTTCTTGGTATAGAAACCCTGTCGTTCTTTCGTTCTATCTTCTAAACACACTAACTAAATAATTAGTAATTCATGTGAAACGTCGACCTCTCTTGAAGTTGTTTTCAAAATTAAAAGTTCAAAAATAAATATTGTAATAGATTAAAATCGTAAAAAAATACTCACCTATATATATTTTATTTAACCCGATATTCAATTAAAATGAAAATGTATTTAGTATAATTACAGACAAAATATTATTATAACAAAAATATTAAAACCGCGGCTATGGCCCGCCGCGACGCCCCGCAGCGATATTCTTTTATCGGGAACATTGTAAAAATTCATAATATAATATTGTACTGGCAACACTGTACAATACACATAATACTTTGTATTAGGTTGTTATAACACTTCACTGACCTTTTGAGGATTAACTACGACGCCCTTTTGTAACGTGGGTAATTATTATAGGCGAGTATGGCGAACAAAATACTACATCATAATAATATTTATAAACAAGCCTGTAGGAAGATTCGTTTTGGGTCGAAATTCAAATTTCACTATTAGACTGATAGATAATACTATTATCTATTATATTATCTTTACTATAATATTATAAAGAGGTAAGTTTCTAAGTTTGTAGGTTTTTTAGTTTGTATGTAGGGGGTAATCTTTGGAACTACGGGTCAGATTCCCAAAATTCTTTCACTTATTGATAGCTACAATGATTATGAACAAAGCCAGCATACAATAAAACATTTTTAATTTATTAATAATATTACAAAGGGGTAAATTAAGTTTGTATGTAGGGGGTAATCTTTGGAACCGCTGGTCGGATTTCCAAAATTCTTTAATTTATAAGCTACAATGTTCCCGAGTGCTTTAGGCTATATAATATGACGCTACAATCAAATGGAGCTGAGCAGCGAGTGAAACCGCGCGGGAGTAGCTAGTGGCATTATATATCAAAGGCTTTTACTGTAAAATGTCTGTGAATAGTTGTGTGTGTGAAGTGTGGGAGAGCCATGCTTCGGCACGAATTGGTCGGCTCGACCGGAGTGATACCACGGCCTCACAGAAGACCGACGTGAAACAACCACAGCGTTGTGTTTCGCCGTGTGAGTGAGGTTACCGGAGGCCCAATCCTTCCCCGCCCCCAATCCCTCCTCAATCCCTAAATCTCCAAATCCCTAATCCCTAAAAGGTCGGCAACGCACTCGTAACTCCTCCGTTGCGGGTGTCCATGGGCGGCGCTGATTGCTTACCATCAGGTAATCCGTCTGCTCGTTTGCGGACCAACTACATAAAAAAAAGAATATCTGGCAGGAAGAATGTTAAACTAATAAATAAATAGTTTTAAATGAATAATAGTTGAAAAGATATCTGTGGACGACGCTGTGGTTGGAAAGGTAGTTTAAAGTTATTAGATTTTGATATACCTTTATAACTAGCGACCCGTGTGAAGAGGGGGTCTCTTCACACGGGTCTAACTAGGGAGGGTAATTCACCCGCCTTCGGGAGATTTTGCATTAACCGCTGCACTAAGTCATTTTATGATTAGTCAATCCTCTCCATAGCAATTGTTTTCAAAACAAAAATGTTATAAAAAAATTAAACTATATCTCAGAAACTACTGGTTCAAATTCAATTGTTATTTTTATATTGGATAGTCCAATTAATCGAGAACGACTGTAAAACACCACGCTACGATCAATAGGAGCCTAACAGCTTGACATTGCGCAAGAGGCTAGTAGTTTAATAATTAAATAAAGTAATTACAGGAATGTGGGATAGCCACATTTCTGCACACATGGGTTGGCTCGACCGGAGTGATACCACGGCCTCACAGAAAACCGGTCCGAAACAATCAGTGTTTTGCCGTGCGTGTGAGGGTACCGGTGGCATAATCTCTAAATTCCCAAAAATCCCAAAAAGCCGGTAACAAACTTGCAACTTCTCTCGTGTTGCGGGTGTCCTTAGGCGGCTCTGCTTACCATCAGGTGATCCTTCTGCTAGTTTTCGGCCGTAACAATATAATTTTATGAAGTCATAATGTTTTGTTTAAAACGAGGTGTTATTAGTTACAACGTAACTAAGCGTATTTAGTTTACAACTAAAAAATCTCAACAAATAAACACTTATATTATGTTTTCGGCTTACTCACGTAATAATTTGACGAGATACTCGACTAGTTTCAAGCCATGCTGAGGCCCATATTCATGAGCAGCACTCCGCGACACGCGACTCGGCGACTAATTTAGAATGTCTCACGAAAGTTATAATAAAAAAAATAAACAGTTTTTATATCAGTATTAGCTTACTATTTTTTTCTTTAAATCAATATATAGGTAGGTAATTAGCAGTATCATTTAGAAATCTGGCAATTTATATAAGTGTGAGCGAATCGCCCCGGTTTCGCACGAGTGCCACGCTAATACTAAATTACTCCAATATTTTATTAATGTTATTTTACATATATTTACCTTAATCTTAATCATATAAATTAATTTTTTGTTGTTCCGGGTCTGGGTGTCATGTGCATGTGAAATTGTATGTTTGTAACCGCACCCACGACACAGGAGAAAATCCTAGTGTGGGGCAATGTTTTTAAAAAAACAAAAAAAAAAAAATATTCTTCAATTAATCTACCTACCTACTAAAAATCCGCATCAAAATCCGTTGCTTAGTTTTAAACATTTAAGCATACACAGGGATACGGACAGAGAAAGCGACTGTGTTTTATACTGTGTAGTGATAGTGTGACTATACCATCCATACAATATTATGGTAGTTAAGAGCCACTGAGGTGGTTTGATGTGAACTATATTTAACCAGCACAGACAAACGGTGAAGGAAACATCCAATACTAATACATAAAAAATTATAATTGTGGTAATGCGACATATTAATAGAAAATTTATTTGCTTTTTCAGTAACATCCAAACTAATATTATAAATGCGAAAGTAACTCTGTCTGTCTGACTGTCTTTTCTTCACGCCTAAACTACTGAACCTATTTGTGTGAAATTTGGTACACAGACATAGTTTGAAACTCGAGAAAGGATATAGGATAGTTTTTAAACTAAGAAATCTGTAGGAAGTTACTAGTCCACGCGATCAAAGTCGAGGGCAGAAGCTAGTATTTTATAATACTTAACACGATTTGACTAGTTGGAAACTGTCGGATTATAGTTACCTAAAGAAGGTATTGCACAAGTACTGAATTAGAGGCGTGGTATAGCTATAAGTTACTAGCTTCCGCCGGCGGCTTCGCCCGCGTGGTATGTTGATAAAAAGTAGCCTATGTCCTATTCCGCAGTGTATCTTATGCCTGTGCCAAATTTCGTCCAGGTCCGTCCAGCCGTTTTGGCGTGATTGAGTAACAAACATCCTAACATCAAAACATCATCATAACTTTCGCATTTTTAATATAAGTAAGAATTTAGGTAGGTTAATTACCGAGAGCATTTTCCTATCTGTGTTTAGTAAAAATAACGTTTTCCTGAAATTAGGTGTGAGTAAAGCGGCTCGACAGTGCAGCCTCACAGAAGACCAATGTGAAACTATTACGGAGGCCAAGTTCCCCTCCCATATTACCAATCCCAAGAGTCCGATAGCGCAATTGTAATTAGTTTGTTGCCCATGAACGGCGTTGATTGGTCTGTCTTGCCATTTACTGCTTTAACCCATAACAAATCAAATAATTAGTACACATGTCAGGTAATTAATGGATTTAGTACTTAATGGATATTATACTTTAAATATAAATTATTTTTAGACTTAGGACATTCTATAACATATATATAAAAAAAAAAATTAAAATTAAGCGTTTGACTGCCGACCAAGAACTATTGAAGGCAAATCGTACAATCGTACCGTAAAAATTACATAAGTCCACAAAAAAATTTAAGATATAAGATGAAAGATGTGTATGACATAACATAATACAGATGCATAGTCCAGGATATTTTTGAGACATACAATTTAAAATAATTTGTAATTAACTAATTAATCATTAGGTAAGTAGTGATTGTTTGTAACCCCTTTAAGCCTACTTGGATTTCTTGGGTATGAGTGCATTATTTTATTATCTTCTGGTACCTACCCATTTCAAAAAACCGTCAAACAAGTCAAAAGTCAAAAGTCAAAAATCATTTATTCCAATTAGACCTTTACATGCACTTTTGAACGTCAAACAAAATTTTGAAGATATAGTGTCAGTCTGTCGGTCAGTGCTCTTAGTGAAGCTATTTGCTCGTTCCAAAGTGTAGATTCCGATGGAGAAGAACGAGCAAGAAACTCCAAATAGTTCGCAACCCTCAAAAGCTTTCGCATTTGCAAACCATTTTTTTATAAGTGTGAGAGAACCCTGCACGTCGATTCTATAAAATTTGTTTGATTGTGAATCTTGTTCGAGTCCGAAGTGAGCGTCGATGTGACGGGGAAATTAAATTTTAGAATGCCACTTTTAACGTCATCTCATACTTTATCTATCAAAATGTTGCTGTCAATTTAGTTCAACTCGCAAGTGTAGCGCTAGTGTACTACTACTCACGGCGGATTCAGATTCGAAGTTTAGAATGAAGTCTTACAGAATCACACTACTGCTTCGGCACAAATGGTCGGCTTGACCGGGGTGATACCACGGCTTCACAGAAAACCGTCGTGAAACAACCAGAGCGTTGTGTTTTGCCATATGAGTGAGGCCCAATCCTTCCTTCTCCTCCCCGAATCCGTTCCCAACCCCAAAATCTATAAACCCCTAAAGCTCAAAAGATCGGCAACGCACTCGGAGCCCCTCCGTTGTTGCGTGTGTCCATGGGCGGCGCTGATTGCTTACCATCAGGTAATCTGTATGCTAGTTTGTTGTTCTATCAAAAAAAAGTACAAGATTATTATCAATATTACATTAATTACTCAGATTTGATTGGTATCAGTACCGAACAATTTAAAAAAAATCCCATATAAACAAAATCATACCCATTAATAATAATACGATAAAATAAAGTTTTTACGAAGACTACATACACTCATATCAGCTTAACAACATGCTACCAAGCAACTTTATTCTCTATTGCACGCAAATAAAACTCAAAACTCTATATCTTATTTATTTTATTGAAATACGGAATATCTGTAGTGGCAATTTGACAGGATTATATTGAACGTGAACGAGTAAATTTAAATACGTTATTATTTTATTTAATGTCTATAATATATTCAGCCTTAGACTGTATTATGACTTCTCTCCGTGGGTGATTTTAATTCTTAACTGAAAAGAAATATCAATCAAACCTTAAGTCGTTGAAAGTGTGGAAGACGGCTCGACCGGAGTGATTAAACAACCACAGCGTTGAGTTTCGCCCTGTCAAAAAGATTGGAGGCCCAATCCTTCCCCAATCCCTAAATGTTCCAAACCCCTAATCCCTAAAAGGTGGGTAACGCACTCGTTATTCGTCTTGTTGTGGGTGTCCATGGGCGGCGCTGATTGCTTAACATCAGGTAATCCGTTTGCCTCCTATTCCATAAAAAAATCAGAGTTGCTGGTACAAACGCAGTAGTATACCGCGTCCGCGGCCAGGAGTAGAAGGAACGAAGTCGTTTTTCGTCAGTAAGAGTCTGACACCTCCTCGCCAAACCCAGGGCGTGGAAGTAGTAAAGCGATGATTATCCACACTAAAAAAATTAAGTTCGTTTCTTAAGTATTATTAAAAAAAAAAACATCTAGCCCAAATTCCACGTTCCCAGAATTAATTTTTAATTTAAAGTTTATAAATAACAGAATCAGATTTCTTGTCAAATATTTCAATGTCACATTACAATTTAGTTATTTGGGGACGAAAATGACAATAGGTATGATATTTTTTTATAAGCAAATTTATTAAAATTCACTTTCAGCAAAAAGGAGACGTAAGACATGCTATTCCGCTTTACTACAGTCCATCTCTGTGCTAAATTTAATTCAGATACATTCAGTAATCGCTTTATGAAACAGTAACAAACATCCATCCATCGATTTATTTGGTGGAATCGATTATCGATTCCACATCGATTTATTTTGGTTGCGCGGTGGCTGGGCAACTAGCTGCCGCGCAATGTGTCGCGGGTTCGATTCCCACACGGGACAACTCTTTGTGTGATCTACAAAGTGTTGTTCCGGGTCTTGGTGTGATGTGATTGTGAAATTGTATGTTTGTTGTACTCACGACCACGACACAGGAGAAAATCATAGTGTTGGCTAACGTTTAAAAAAAATATGACCATATTTCAACCAAAACGTTTCAGCCGTTTTTGCGTAAAAAATGTACAAACATACACATTCTCACAAACTCTCACGATTATAATATTATAGTTGGAAAGTAGGAAAGAGAGAATAGTATTATTTGGAGCTAATAAGACTTTTCTAAAATATATGTAAGTTACTACATATAAACATCAGCTACCTACCAATAAGTCTGGTCTAAATTTGTCCAGCCATTTCAATGATTAGCAGAAACAACTAGACACACAAACAAATGTTTTTTTTTATTTTATGACTACGTACGACAAATTTAAAATATAAATAGCGTTATTTTCGTGTAAGTGCTGTGTGTTTGAAGTAAACATCGATTATTTCAATATTACAAACAGGTGGTACCTATACATGCCACAGATAAGCACAAAGTTTATGGAAATAGAAATGATGGCTATTTTTTTATGTCAGTCTAGTTATGTATTTATTTTTTTACGTATTTTTCATATTTTTTCATAGCTCATCCTTATCCTTATTGAATATTTCGCAAATTATTCGTAAATTACTTACGAAAATCATTTTAAATATAATCAGCTCAATTTTATATTGACACTGCCGTAAAATACGGAAGCAAATATACTCCTCTAAATTTTCATTACATTATAATAACAATGTGAATAATAAGGGTCTTTACAAGATGAGTACTTATTACAATTATAAACGGTCGCTTTACAACTAACAACACGCTGTACATCCTTTATAATCATTCTGATTTGTACATCGCATTGTTCAAACGTTACAGTTCAATTGTAACAAAGCTTTTATAAAAATAGTATTAGTATAAATAAACAGTGTATACTATGTTAAGTGCCTTACAAAACGTGCGTTTTGCTAAATCCGGCTTTTTTAACGAGGGTCGTGATATTGATAAATGAATTTATTCTCTATTCGTATGATGTATGGTATAGTTTGGAGTGTATGTGAAAACTGCATGTAGGGTGATGCGGCTTATGTTGGGCCAGTAGCGGGTATGAGCATAGGATTAGCAGATCGATGTCATGTCAATCAAATGTGAAGTGCTGGGAACAAGCGATTAATGTGAACTTTAACAGTTTTTAATGGCTTGTTTGGGTTAACTGTTATGAGCAAATTGTAACGTTCAGTTTGAATTTAGAACCCTCTATATTGACGACTATTGTATTGACGACGGTAAAGCGTTTAATATTCGAACGTGAAAAGGATTTCGAAATAGTTGCAATTAAAAAAATCTAAAACAAAAATTCTTCCTTTTTGTTTTTAAAACAAAACAAATAGTTTATTTTGCAAAGAATATGGGTATAAAAAAGTTGTTTAAATTATACATAGGAGTTTTATGTCATATGTCGGCAAATGGGCAGACGGATTACTTGATGGTAAGCAATCAGCGCTACCCATGGACACTTGTAGTACCAGAGTTACTACAAGAGCGTTGCCGGCTTCTTGTTAGTTGTTAGAGATTGAAGGATTTAGGATGGGGAGAGGGCGGAAGCATTGGGTCTGTGGTAACCTCACTCACACGGCGAAACACAACGCTGTGGATGTTTTAAGATTGTGGCTTAGCATGTGCGTAGTATGCAATGACGCCACACACATTATATTATACCACACATATTTCTTTGCAAAGCGAAGTTAGACAGGCGTTGCCCCGTCTTGTGGCGTCCTCCATCTGTTGTGGATCTCCACCCAAAAAACGGTTGATAGATATTATTTAATGTTACTTACAATAATGTCTAATAATATGTGTATACTAAACGCAGGTATCGTTTGGACCGAGCTAAAAATGATAACATGAAAACCGAAGTTGTCAGGTTAAAACCAGTTTTGAGTATATGTGATTAAAATTCATTTTACCATGCGTCCAATACACGACTTTGTTCTTTCTTCCACAGATCGTATAGAATTGAAAAGCGAGAGTGTTGCTCATTCGGACTCGGAGCACGAGCACGAGCTGAGCGAGCACAATGAGCTCGAGCATGGCCACGGCGAGCACAGCGAGCATGGAGAGCATTTGGAGGCGCTGGACGCTGGCAGACCGCGCAAGGTAACTTGATCTGAATTGATAGATGTATAAGTCTTAATTTTGTTTGTACTACGTTGTTTACTGCTATCTACATATGTTCTGACAGTTTAAGTATTTGCGCAACCCACCCAAATGTTCTTTTGATCTGTATTGTTCGTCGGACAACTCAGCAACACTCATTTGCTTAACTGGTTATAAACTGTTACTTGCGTGCCTTTCTATAGAACGGGCCCATTTAAACTGGTGAGGTTCTTTCCACAAAAGACCACTACGGAATGAAACTGCACACATTTTATTAATTTTTATTTCGTCAGGACTTGAAAAGAAATGGACCTCGTGAGTTTGTTTCGGCATTACTTCTTAGAGTACCTAGTCAGATAGGAAATGCCGGCTAGCTTTTTCACATAGGAATAACGGTTATTTAAATAATAGCTATTTACGAAAAAAAAAAACATTTTTTCATTAAATATATGAGACAGTTAATACATTGTGTTATATAAACTAAAAGCATTAAACTAAAAGCACACAATGAAAGAACATTAAAAAGTTTCATTCTTCGAGATCTAATACTTTAGGTAATTGCATAATTGTTTTTATTTTTGCCTGCGTAGCGTGTTATTGATTCAATCCTAGACCAGTACCTACAAGGTTTATTAAAGAAAATAAACATAACACTCCTTTTTGGGACAGCTGTGTAAAAAATTCTTTAATAAAGGCCTGGGAAATTTTGCGATATCATTGGTACAAACACAAGATAGTCTATTTTAACTTAGAAGGAACAGACAGAAATACATGGTGTTACCACCATTAAGATTCTAATGAATAAAGTGACTGCACGGTTGGTGCGGTGGCTGGGAGACTGGCTGCCATGTCATGCAACGTGTCGCGGGTTCGACTCCCGCACGGAACAACTCTTAGTGTGATCCACAAATTTTTGTTCCGGGTCTGGGTGTGATGTGTATGTTTATAACGGGAGAAAATCCTAGAATGAGGCTACTTTACTTTTTAGAAAGATTTTAAAAGAAATGAATTGCTTATGAATAGGGTATTGTCTTTACAAATGCTCCCATCGACCTGTACTTTCGTTGGCTAAGCAGGTGCGCCGCAGCCGTACCACGTTCACCACATACCAGCTGCATGAGCTGGAGCGTGCCTTCGACAAGACGCAGTACCCTGATGTATTCACGCGAGAGGAGCTCGCTATGAGGCTGGATCTAAGTGAAGCTAGAGTACAGGTGAGACCAAACATCATATTATTATATTTGTTTTAACGAGCAGACGGATTACCTGATGGTAAGCAATCGGCGCAGTCCATGGACACACGCAACACCAAAGGAGTTACCGACCTTTTGGGGTAAGGCCTTCGGATATTGAATTTGGAAGGGATGGAGGGCACGGGGAGGGACCTCATTCACACGGCGAAACACAACGCTGTGGTTGTTTCACGCCGGTTTGTATGAGGCCGTGGTATCACTCCGGTCGAGCCGACCCATTCTTGCCGAAGCATGGCTCTCCCACACTTAATGAATTTGTCATTCAGTCATTGAATGACTTATTCGCCCAGGCTAAGGCGAGAGGGAGTTTCAGACTCTTACTGACAAAAAACCCTGTTCCTTCTTCTGCTCAATAAAGATCCCACAATATTCAAAGACACAGTTAAATTTGAACTAAAATGTAATTAATAATTACGTTATTAATGCGAACATATTTAATCACCCCACCTTAATGTACTATCATATTAATAACACAATTAACTTTGATTCCAATTTAGTAAGTAATAACAAATTAATTAATTTCGCGAACAATAAATTGAGATTTATTGAGAATTAATATTAATACGAAATGTAAAACCACAAATTGTTCATAATTTAATAAAATAATTTAATGGAATTTTGTTTATTAATTATGTTATTAATTTTGTATTGTAACTTCATTTGAAGGTTTTTATTTACCCATTAAAATGTTGAGCCTATTGTTAATTAGTGAGCGCATTGTACAATTCCAAATGAACTGTTGTAATTGCAAGCTATTGCTATAGTACCTCTTTCGATACAGAAATGAAATAAAATCGCTTGGTTCATCCTACTTGTGATCAATCGACCAAATAACACTGGCAAAAATTTATAACAAAAAGTAAAATAAATAATTATAATAATTATACTATAGGTATCCACTAAAGAAGCACGCTTTTCTAGCAAACCGGACTAAAACTTAGAATTTTTTTTTATAAACAAAGAATTTAACGGAAATTCAAACAATCACTCATAATCAATTACTTAAGAAATAAAAATAGGGGATTACTAAATTCAGAGTAAAGAGTAGGTACTTAGTGGAGTGCTTGACATGCGTGGAACTAAGCGATTTTTACTCTGAAAGTCTGAATTTAACGATTCTATATCCAAACTAATATTATAAATACGATAGTAACTCTGTCTGTCTGTCTTTTCTTCACGCATAAACTACTGAACCGATTTCTGTGAAATTTAGTACAGACATAGTTTGGAACTCGAGAAAGAACATAGGATAGTTTTTATACAAAAAATCTGCAGGAAGTCACTATTCCACGTGAACGAAGTCGCAGGAAAAAGCTTGTAGTATATATATTTTATACATTGGCGAAAAGAGAAAATTTATTTATTAGGATTCGATAAAAAAAATCTTAAGATCCTCAACAATATGACAAGAGTGACGTCAATGTGTGTCATTTACATGCAAAGTGATACATGGCCACATACATATTTAACTAAATTGCAAAGGCTGTCCGTAGAGGTGCGAGGGTAATTAAAATTAGTGCTATTCTCATCGCGCGGCGCACAATGAGCGCAAATTGTCGATGGGCCGCGCTCACCGCAACGCGACACCAAAGCTAAAGCCGACTACACACTCAGTTCTTGACAGATACCAGTGAATATATGTACAGATATACTAGTTTATACTAGTTTATACTAGTCTATACTAGTTTTTACTAGTCAATACTAGTATTATAACGTGGTAAAATTTGTAATTTATAAGTTTGTTTGTAGGGGGTAATGTTTGGAAACGCTGGTCGAAATCCAAAATTCTTTCAATGATAGGTAGCTAGATTTATGATAGATAGCTTGTCTGGCGTATTTTAGTCGAGGTACCGATTTAAATCCTGGTATATATTACTTTTATTTGCGAAGTTTCAAATAAAAAATCACGATACTATCAAAGGGAGCCGAGCAGCGAGTGAAACCGCGAGAGAGAGGGTAGTGCATAGTAAAACCGAGTATAGAACTAACACAATTTTAAATCGAAATTGTCTTTAAATTACAAAACAATATACTATTATTATTCCAACTAAACCATAAATAGGTTCTTTTGAAAGGTCAAAACAGAATAGTAGTCTATCAGTCTGTTCGTCAGTGAAGCTAGGTGCTCATTCCATATTATAGATTCGAATGGAGGAGAACGAGCAAAAAACTCCATCGTTACTCATCATCATCATCATCATCAGCCTGTTGTCGTACACTGCTGGACATAGGCCTCCCCATCGTTACTCTTTAAAAAAAAAATGTTTTAAAATTTCAATAATATAACATTTAGTATACATTATTGTACCCTTATGTGAGAACAATGCAGAGACAAGTTGTTAAAAAAAAGAACAAATAATGGGATCTATGTATCATAAAATTTTAATCCTTTGTCGTTTCGAACATGGCGATCACAATCTTTGTGAAAGAAAAAGAATCTTCTTGAAAGAGTGCTTCTATATCTAAATATCATAGAATTCTATATATAAATTTCATAGAAACGTATCGTCATTGACACAATTGGATAAAAGTATTGAATTTGACTAGTTGGATATTACTCTTCTATTCTACGGAATAAGACTACAGTTAATCGCATTAAGTGCACGGTTACGTCACAACGGCCTGCAGTACAACTGTACAATGCACGCTAATTCGCGCGTCATTACGCTCTCGTGGCGAGAGCGCTAATGTTTGCAGCGTCATCGCGGCACCACATTACTCAAGCTCCTTCCCTAATTGTTGCAGATATTGTAATCAGGCCTCTTGCAAGCTGCCGCGTTTTGTACAAGAATGAAATTATTAAGTTCCGTTAAAAGATAATAATAGCCAATGTGCATTTATGGCGTCCGTTCTGTTCTTGAGTGGGAGACTGTTACTGAACCATTTATACTCTCCGTTGGAGGCTGTGGTCTCGCTGTTTCTTGATAGTCGCTCCTATACCAGACTTTTGTTGGTATTTAATACTTTTACGGCCTTATTACAAAACAAGGTTTTACTTTAGTCTAGGACTAATTGAGCGAGTTTTTGTATTTCGAATTGAGGGTAGATGACAATAAGATTCAAAATTTAAAACTCGACTCAATGATTTAAACCTGGACTAAAGATAAATCTTGTTTTGTAATAAGGGGGATTGAGTTTTAATTTTGTAAACTATATTTTACATTTATAGGTACTTAGAATATATTTACAAAACCTTATGTTTTATCAGGTTCCGCCCGCGGCTTCGCCCGCGTGGTATGATGATAAAAAGTAGCCTATGTCCTATTCCGGTGTGTATCCTATACCTGTGCCAAATTTAAACTAGATCCGTCCAGTCGTTTTGGAGTGGTTGAGTAACAAACATCCAAACATCGTAACTTTCGCATTCTTAATACTTATTAGTAAGATTTTCACTAAGTACGTCGATTAAAAACTCTTAAGATCCCCAACTGTCAAGAAATTTTACTAGTGTAGAAAACGAAATATATAATTACAATTTTCTATTTAATTTTTTTTTTCGTAAAGACGTCGGATTTTCTCCTTGGTCGTGGGTGCGTTTACAAACATGCAATTTCACATACACACCACACCCAGACCCGGAACCACCATTTATGGAACAAACAAACAGTTGTTCCATGCGGGGATCGAAACCGCGACACGCTGCGCGGGAGCCAGTTGCTTAGCCATCGCGCTAACCGTGCAGACAATTGACTGACATAGGTTTTTTTGATTCATATAACCTACTGCTTTACTGCAATTCCACCTGATGGTAAGCAGTGATACAATCGTTGATAGTAAGACGCACTGGTTTATTAAGAGCTTATTCGATCGAGTCTTGAAGACATCCGAATCATAGCTAATAGTAAGTAGAATGATTCATTTTAAAATATTCCCAAACACACGTATAAGTTGAGGTAAAGTTAAATGTAATTGATTAGCTACCTAATAAGATGGTACTATTGTTTAATTGTTCGTAATCTCAAGTAACAATGGTTTAATTAAGCGCGGTTTGGCGTGGAGTGCTCTTTAACTGCAGTTAAAGCGAGCGCCTGCAATTTGGTAATTAGGGACTTTATGCGGTCTGTGAGGCGGAGGGGGAGGGATAATGGCGAGTATTAAATACGACACTTGAGGGATTTGTGAGAACTTTCGGATGATTTCGGATGTCAATGTGTCTGCGGATCTACCATGTTGATCCTTTAATTTCGGAGAATTTCGTGTTGTAAAATACTTTTGATGTAAATAATTCTTATTTTTGCTCGTTTGTCAAGTCAAGCGTGGAATAAGTATAAAGTCTATGGTGGATATTCGTACCATACTTGTGGACACTTTCTAAATCAGTATTAGAGAGACGTTTTACATGTTAAGTTGTATTTTTTTTATTTGCAACTACCTACTCTCGCACTGTTTCGCCCGCTGAATGGCTCCATTTGATCGTAACGTGATGTTTTATAGCCTATAGCACTCAGGAACCTTGTAGCTATTTATCAGTGAAAGAATTTTGGAAATCCGACCAGCGGTTGCAAAGATTACCCTCTACATACAAACTTACAAATTTTACCTCTTTATAATATAGTGATGTGCTGGCTATTATGTCGCCTGTTGGTAAGCAATGATGCGGCCTACGTGATGTAGGCCGCATCATTTTAAAAGATAAAGTATGAAATGAAAGTGGCATTCTAAAATTGAATTTACTCGTCATTACGACGCTCACTTCGCACTCGAACACGATTCAAAATCAAACAAATTTTATAGAATCGACGTGCAGTTCCCAAGATTACTCTCTCACACACTTACAAATTAAAATTTTTACCTCTATTTAATTACCTAGGTATTCGCTAGGTATTCTACGTAGGTACTGCTGAAACGCGAAGAGTTAACTACAAATTGTAAGGTTACATCAACTGATACAAATTGTTTAAAGAAACAGACCCATTAAGATAAAATTCTTAATACCATACGAAGTTAATACCAAAGACATTTCATAAGAGCATTCGTATTTGCAGTTGTTGAGTACCAACCCTATTGGTAGTCAAGTATTGGGGGAGCCACACAGTTCTTAAATCACACTCAACGCAGTGCAAATTGCTTTTAATCCACTCCATAGATGCCGTTAGCCGACAAAGGACGCAGTACTTACATTCTTCGCCCTTTTAAATTCAACCTTAGTCTAAAAGCTTACGGTTCATCTTGGGTCCACTGTTTGAAGTTTCGAGTTGAAATTTAGAATGGTATGGAGTGGGTCTCAATAAAAAATTCTAGTGATTGCTCTATGTAATCGACACGAGGCGTTCTATTCATTGCGAGTGGTACTTGACGAGCCGAACGAATTAAGTCCATGTTTTAATTGATGAGTTTCACTGCTGGCTTGGGAACCTCTGTACCATAACTCCTACGAACAAGGCCACGAGGGCAAATGCGGAATATTTTCGAATCCTTAGGCGGGATCAGAAGCTTGAAGTACTTATAATATGATTTCATTATAAGTTTGACATTATTTATTATCTATACTCGTAGACTCATAGTCATCATTATCATTTTGATATTACATTATTAGGTACTAGATGTAACCATCTCCTGTAGGCCCTCCTGGTTTACAGGAGATGCATCGGTTTCGGGAAACCGTCGTGTGGTTGTGCCATAAAAAATGATGACGATTATTTTGCGTTAATTTTACATTATTGTTATTAAATTTTTTTTACTGTTCAAGTTCGATTATTTTTTGTTTTAATTCATTTTGATTTTATTTGATTTTGACATTAGATCTGATTGAGTAATATTTTACAATTTATTGTTTTTGTAAGTATTTTTTTTTCAAATGAATATGCCTTTCGCTATCTGCCATGCAAATAAATAATTATGAAAAATGCCTTTCTTATATCTCGGAAACTTATGAGCATTGCAAACATGCAGTCTTTTTTTGTGATAGGGATTTGGTGATTTTGGGAATGAGCAGGGATTGGGGAAGGGAAAAGATTGAGCCTCCGGTAATCTCACTCATACAGCGAACCAACGCTGTGGTGGTTTCACGCCTGTTTTCTGTGAGGCCGTGGTATCACTCCGAGCTCACTCCGCAAGTCGACCCATTCGTGCCGAAGCATGACTCTCTCACACTTCTTAATGAGATTTTTCTATACACTTGTCAAATTGTGAGCAATTACGCAGTTTCACTCCAAAGCTATAAGAGTGGCCACTTTATATTACTAGTGGATCATTATAATACAATTGTAGTGCCATTTCATTTCAATTTGTCAATCACGCCAATTTCTATCGCGCTGTGTTTTGTCCGCCATAATTGTCGAGTCGACGCCATTGTAAGAATGCAGCGACTCAGTAAAATGGTCTCATTTGAAAATTATGAAATTACACCAATTTTTCCTTCTACAATGTCTTTTTATTAGCGCAATGTGGCTCGACTAGCTCAATTTGTTTCTATTCTCCGTTCGATAACATGCAAAAGTCGACGTTACGACAATGGTGGAAGGATCATTTTGGTACATGAGTGTGGAGGAATGGAGACCACGTATGCGTAATTGCTTTTCATTACGGTTCCATTGTAGTCGAGAGGTGCGGACGAGTGGGACGGCGAGGGAGGCGGGGAAAGCGTCAAATTGCCAACAATTACACAATAAAAAAATTAAAATCGTCCACAACTCGGATTGGATCCATTATTCGGAAAGAATCCAGCCCTGATTTTTCATGCGGACGTCGGATCTTATTGGGTTGAAAAAACAGGAACTGATTTGACTGTAGGAACTATTTGGGTGAGGAACTAAGTATAACTATAATAATGAAGTATTTTAAATAAACTTTTCCCAGTTGTACAGTCATTCTGTCTCCTGCATTAAATTTATCGAGGGAAGTGGAAACTATTTAGTTTTTTCTTCTCCTCAAATAATATCTTCTGATTTATTCCATTGCGGGATCTGAGACAGTCATTCATGTACCTGGGACTCGCTGGACTTCAGTGGTCCTGTGTACAGTTATGTAGATTCTGGCTTACAGAAGCTGCAGCGGTTTTGGGAGATTACTGCGGGCTTGTCCCAAAAAAAGACCCTGTAACGATGATCACAGTTTATTTAGAGAATAGAAATATAGACAATAGAGGTTTAGGATTCAGCTGGTTGCGGGTTAAGTGCAATATGATATCTTGGCTTGGAGAAGAAACGGGAAGGTTCTTAGTCAGTAATGGTCTGACACTCTCGCCATATCCTGAGCAAGAGAAGTCATTTGATGAGAATTTCATGATCCACCAATCAGACTGATGATGATGGCTTATGTGATATTTATTTATCTGTTTATTGGCAGGTATGGTTCCAGAATCGACGTGCAAAATGGCGAAAGCGAGAGAAGGCGCTCGGAAGAGATCACGCGCCGTTCATGCATCACGATCATGGTGAGTGTCACGACAACAAGCTTCACATAAAAACCTTTTTAGGATACTTCATTATCATCAGCATATAAGTGCCCACTGCTAAGCAAAGGCGTATTCTCACACGGAGAAGATTTGAGCATTAATCGACACGCTTGCTCAAGGCGAATTGACGATTTCAAACTTATAAGTCCAGATTTTCTCACGATGTTTTCCTTCACCGTATGTCAGTGGTTTCTTAACAATCATAGGTAGAAAAACTAGATAAAGTCACATTGGTACTTGGTAGGTACCGTACAGTTCATGTATGAGTAGCGAGCGCTTTAACCTCGGGGCCACCAAGACAACTACATACTTTTTAGGATACAATACTTTTTATTTTATTTCTATAGTTCTACGGATCTATATTTACCATAGGGTAGCCACGTGTCAATCCTGTGCACCAAATTGTGCTTTAGCTAAAAGGTTTTAAGTGCTATTTTGATTGTGTATATAAATATCTCAACATTGAAATACGGTGTCAAACAAAACCAATCCATTTCCGAAATATTACGATTCTCAAACATGTCGATATAATTTCGATAACCACGGCAATAATTCAAAATAAACATCCGTAATTACAATTGGGAAAATACTTTTCTTGTAAAATGATTCACAGGTATAGTCGTCATCAGCTTACAGGTTGTTTTTTTATGTGATATTTTGCCAAATTAACGTCGGCCATGGACACTAGGCAACACCAAAAAAGTTGCCTAGTGTCCATGGCCGACGTTAATTTGGCATTGGAAGTGGTGGCGATTTAGGGATAGAGATGAGGGAATTGAGGAAGGAGGGGAAGGATTGAGCCTCCGGTAACCTCACTCATACGGCGAAACAGAATGTAGGTGTTGTTTCACGCCAGTTTTCTGTGACGCCGTGGTATCGTGGCCCAAACATGGCTCCTCCACACTGGCGTTATATATTGAAGTTACTGTTATTTATTCCACGTAATTGGTGTCCGTTTATCGACGGGGCGGTAATGTGATACCAAGCCGAATGCACCCGATGTCTACCGATCATTATCAAGCGTGAGAGGAAACAATCAGTAATACATTGATAAATGTACAATTAGCTGCTTAGATACTTTGTTTGGATTTCCTTTGATTTGTGTTTTTTTTTTATTTAATTGGTCGGCAAACGAGCAGACGGATTACCTGATGGTAAGCAATCAGCGCCGCCCATGGACACCCGCAACGGAGGAGTTGCCGACAAGTGCGATGCCGACCTTTTACGATTAGGGATTTGGAGATTTAGGGATTGAGGAGGGATTGGGGGCGGGGAAGGATTGGGCCTCCGGTAACCTCACTCACACGGCGAAACACAATGCTGTGGTTGTTTCACGCCGGTCTTCTGTGAGGCCGTGGTATCACTCCGGTCGAGCCGACCCATTCGTGCCGAAGCATGGCTCTCCCACACTTAAACTTGTGCTGGTTTGTTTTATTGGCTTAGTTGTTCACGACAGCATTCTGAACCTATTTTTATTTTGATAGAAGACTGTAAGTAAATAGTTTCAAACTAGTTCAATTTAATACCAAAATTATTCTTTTAGCATTTCATTATTATTGAAATGCTAAAAACTATATTTGTTAGTACTTAAATGAATATTGAATGAAATCGCGACATTAGTACGCGACGAAATTCAATTTAATAGATAGAGTAATGGAAGAAGAATTTTTATTGTAAATAATTATATAAAATAGTGGAGAAATTAAGTACTATCCGTCCGAAGCCGGGGAGACTCGCTAGACAAAATATTTATTAAGTAAAATTACGATTAAAAATCTATTAAGCATATATCACAGATATATGCTTAATAGATTTAGACTATAGATTTGACTGGCTGGAAATTACCTACACGTTGATTTTTGCATTGCAAGACTCGGGTACGGTATAGGCCTCCGAAAGTACTGAATACATCAATGTGTGCAACCGGCTATCAATCACACTGAAATCATCGGCGCAATTAATACCGATTACAACGTAATTGCCCGGCACCCTACATCGGTGTAATGCGCGCTCCCCTCCCAAAACGCTACCTTTAAACGTCAAACGACATGTGTGCACAATTGATACGCATTTAATCACCAAGGCTGGTAAAGTTTTGTCAAACCAACATTTTTCTCAAATAAGTATTTATTCAGTCGGGACGAGATTAAACACCGGTCAGATAAAATATTATAAGATACTTACCCAATGGTAGCTCGTTTTCGTTGGTACACTTTCTTAACGTAAAATGAATAAAACCTTCTTGAAGTCGCAGGGTTTTTTTAAGGGGCAAAATTATCAATGACTTCTCCCGGTGTTAAAGGAGTTTCAGTCTCTTACTGACTAAAAAGCCGGGAAAATCATCAAATGAACAAGTCCCCGGTTTTCTGTGAGGCCGTGGTCCGTTCGTGGCCGATAAAAAAAGTTAAAGATTAATATAATTAAAGTTAAGCGTGTAACACTTCACATAATTTTTTTTTGGACACTTTACATAATTTTTTGTCGACTTTATTTGTGTGTGGAAAACCATCAAATGACTTCTGCCGCCCAGGGTGAGGGGGGAGCATAGTGGAAAGGGTGGGAGGAATTGTCAGACTCTTACTGACTAAAAACACCGTTCCTTCTCCTGCTCTAGGCCGAAGCCGCGGCCCATCACCAACCCTATAGTGCATTGCTGATCTTTTATTTCTCCACGACCCAAAGGTAGACTGGCAGAGAACGCCTAAGGCGTTAAGTCCGCCTTTGAACACTGTGTAAGAAGTATAAAAACAAAAAGTAAATAAAGAATCGAAAACGTAATCTGAAATTGATTGGACTATTTTCTATGACATCAATACCCACACTTAGAAAACTCGTAAACGCGTTAACGGTAAATATATCAGCCGGTAAACGGATTGCCAGTAATTTGTCGTTATCGGGACATCGCGTAAACCGGACCGTCATTATACGCACATTAGTGGAATGACACCCCAATACACAGTGTCGCCGCGGTGTATTTGTATCCGTAACAATTACTTTTACTTTATTCTCGCTTTGATTGTTGCTCGCTACAATTTCCTACATTATGCTAATTACAGTCTGATATTAATATTGTATTTTTGGAATAAATACCTTATCAACATGTAATTTAGGGACGTAATGCTTTGTTGAGTTTTCGTAAATAAGATAGGTTTTATGTTACACATTAAATTTGTTTTTAATAGCTTTCCCATATATTTTAATCGTTGATTGATATCATCATGACGTGTAGGTAATACTTATTTTGTGTAACACCCTATTTGGCATCACCGTTAAGCTTGTTATGAACTATGTAGTAACTCAACTCTTTTAGGCTTCAGCCGGGGTTGCGGGGTTAGCGCAATGAATGAGGCACCGCGACCTCGGCACAGAGCAGGAGAAGGAACAGGGGGTTTTTTAGTCAGTAAGAGTCTGGCATCATCCTCCCGGCCGGCTCTGGGCGGGAGCAGTCATTTGATGATTTTCCCCTCACAAAAAAGCTCTTTTAGGCTTTAATATCAGACTATCACCGGGTTTCTGAAAGGCTTGTCAACGCTAAAATTAGCTAATCTCCTGTTAAATCTCTTGTCAAGTCATCTGATTGGTTGTTGATAATTCAGTAAACCAATCAGATGACTTGACAAGAGATTAAATTGATTTTAACATTGATCGGCGTTTCGGAAACTGGGTGTCAATCTGACACTATTTTGCCCAGTCTAATCTAGTACGTACTTGCAGAAGTTACGAGTGCGTTGCCGGCCTTTTGGAGAAAAGGGTTTTGGATATTTAAGGACTGGGAAAGGATGGGGGGCCTCCGGTAACCTCGCTCATCCGAGGTTTCCAATCACAAAAAACAACTCACAGTTCGATAAAAAAATCAGACCATTACCTACCTAAAATATTTGATTTTAAAATCAGAATATCAACGTTTCTGTGTCACGTGTGAGTGTGTTTGTGATTATAATATACATATGTACCTACATAGATGTGTGCGCGCTCGTTACCCGGTCGGCACGCGACAATTTGTGATAATTGCTTACGATTTTATTGATACGCTTACTTCATGTTTAAACAAAGTGTCGGCCATGTCATTAGTTGGTAGTTAAAAACAAATCTGTTTTTACTATTACTCGATTTTGTTTATTTGATACCTAAAACGACTGAACGGATTTCGATGGAATGTGTTTAAAAAGATTTTGTCATGTATTTTTTTTTAAAAGAGCGCTTTTCGGATGTAGAATCCGTACAAACTAGGCATTTAACCTTTTGTCTTCCGGTATATGACAAACAATAGAAAACAAATTGTATCTCGCGTGGATCTGATCTGATCTCTTTATCACGGGTTAAAATTGTTTGCGTGAAAGAGAAACAAATATCCATCCATAACTTTCGCTATTACAACATAAAAATATACTTATTTATGGATAATAAAAATGTAGGTATACCTATATATTAAAATTACTTTGGTCCATTTTCCCACAAAATCAGTTTAGCGACTTTGACGTTTGACTGTGGGCGGCGTGTTGCATTGTTTAACATGCAGCTTTGTATTATGTAGGTACTAAGTAAAACTGCTTAGGTATATTGCAAGTATTTCAGCTTAATTTTAAAAACTCTTTAACTACTTTCTTGTCTGATAATCTGTCGCATAATTATTATATGTATAGTATAATGTATCAAATCGTATGTCTCCGACTAAACACATAAACACGATACTAAAAACTGAGATAGTCAGAGCCAAAAGACCATCAAAGACGGGTCGCTACAGGTTGCGGGGTAAGCGCAAGATGGCACGCCGCGGCCTCTGCCTTTTTTTTATGAGGGGAAAATCATCAAATATCTTCTCCCGCCCAGGGTAAGGCGAGAGAGAGTGTCACACTCTTACTGACTAAAAATCCCTCCGTTACTTCTCCTGCTCTGGGCCGAGGCCCCGCTCATTGTGCTTGATCCGCAATTTCGGCTGAACATCAGCCCTGTAGGGCTCCGGTCTATTGACTCTTTGAGGCGCGCGTGGAACGCTACGCGCCGTATGCTCGGGTTTGGTTCAGAGTGCCTAGCACGAATGACTATCGTAATCGTAACGTTAACGTATCGAGACGTCGATACTTCATGTGACGAAAACGGAATGTCGCAGCACGAAGCCTATCGTATCGTCTAGCGAGAGCTCGAATCGAATTCGTTAGTGACGTCATGCTAATGTAAGCTAGAGAAGCACCCAAGTGAACGAATTGAATGAATTCTTGAACATCATTTAACATAAAGATTTCGTCTGAAAACTAAAATTAATTTTAAACATATTTCAACCTTCGTCTACACCTTTTATGGTATTATATTTAAATGAAAAAATATTAATTACGTGAAATAATTCTTAAAACGAGTCAAGAAGTATATAAAACGACTTTTTCTATGAAAAAAATATTATTTGGTTATTTAAATTTTGTAACATAATTTTCGATTTCCGAACGTTCTTTTGACAAAGGTGACGTTTGACGGCTATTGACGTATTTTTTTTAACAAACAAAACAAAGAATGTAAGATAGGTAATTATGCGGCTATCTTATTAAGCGGTTAGTTTAAATTTATTTTAAAATGAGGAGGACTCGGCTCCAATACGAATTAATGGTGGATTTCATGGAATATGCCAGTGACAAGCAGCGAGCCTTCAGTGTTCCGACCACTCCGCCTCCGCAGTACCCATGAAGCCAGCCGTTCACCGACACCACCAGTCGCCAATCCTCCATTAGAAAGGGAATGCTGGAAGCCTCGACCGAAAAAAAAAATCTAAAGAGAGTTTAATCAAATCGTAAAAGAAACCTAGGGAGTTTACTAGGGTGCGTGAGGAATCATATGATATAATGGAACAAGAGCGTTTGGAATTACGACGAGAAGAATGAAGAGTAAGACAGAGAGATGCAGAGCTCCTTTTACAGGCTCAGTGGCTGGAACTTATGAGAGAGGCAATAAATGTATTAAAATATAATCTAGTTAAAAAGATGATTAATGTATATTTACATATTTTATTTTAAATTACTACATCTTGGAATGAGGAAAGATTATGTTAGAATTGAATTTAAAATGTCTCACTATAGTTACCTATTATAAAAACATAGGTAAGAATAGTTTTTAAGTTAGATTAGTGAGTAAGATGTTTTGGAAATGTATAATAATAAAACACTTGGGTCATCTGTGTAGTATATTTATTTGCTGTACCAGAATATTACTTAAAGCCCTTTCACTTATCAAATCATGGCTTCTATCATTTTCATGTCTCATATCAGAAGATCTCATATCAGAAAATTATGCAACATGCAGCAAGCCGTTGTCAAACACATTTTTCGGGAGCATTTAATGCAGAGTGCGGTCTTTGCACAAGCATCGCCTCTTCTTTCTTTTACTGCAGTATATTGTGGCCCGGAGTTCCCTCTACCGCATCCAAAATGAGTAGGCGTCATTAGCCATGGTCGCTGTGGGTAGCCAGAATCACCTGTAAAAAAATATTTATTAGAAAACCTAATTTATACTAGCTACTTCCTCGCGGTTTCACCCGCTGCTCGACTCCTATTGATTTCGTTTTAGCATTATAAGGTTAGTTTTTGTTGGAGTTGCTCACAGAAGTACTTGAAAGCTTCTTTATTTAGGCGGTACCTAGTATTTCTAAACTACGTTTCAGTGATATCCATTGGATTAGATATCTTTCTGAATTTAGCTCGGCACACGATTTCTCTAGAATAAGCAGTTAATTCGTATTATTTTCTTGAATACATATGTCTATATTAAGTGAAACATAACTTGAATAGGGAGGTACTTACGAAGTTTCTCTTGACTCTTCATCTCCAAGTAAAATAGCCACAAATAAACTATTTCTCCAACTTGGTTCGTACAGCGGCGGTCTTTGCATGATGTTATACTCGTAAAGAACACTCACAAACTTTAAAATATATTATTTAAAACACGATTGAAATATTTCGAAACCTTTCTCACCGTCAAATTCTTAGTGACAAATGTTTCGACAGTTTTCGATAGCCAGCCTTCGAAACTTACGTTACTATACGTCAAAAGATCGTTCGTGCTTCCAATTTGTGTCAAAATGTTCTAAGTTTCGATAGCAACACGATACGATTACTATACGATAGTTGTCAAAATCATTCGTGCTTGCGATTTTTAGTTCCTTTTACGCACGGTAGGGGCGCTGTACAAATCCCATAGAAAATGCTTTCGATCTCGATACGAATACTTTCTCGATAATGTTCGTGCTAGGCACACTGGTCGGTCGGCGAGATACCCTCACTTGCCGCACGCAGACCCGCGCTTTCGGTTGCAGGAGATCATCTCTCGATCACGGAATACCCTGGGTGGGAGAAGTGATTTGATAACTTTCCCCTGCCAAAAAAAGGCCAGTTAGATCGTATAGTCAATTCGTATGACAAATTGGTCATTGTACTGGTTCTACAGCAGCGCCGGCATCGTTCACCGGTTTAAGGCAGGTGCAGTCTAACAACAAGGGCGGGTCTATGCCAGCTATCATTACTCACACCTGCTGCAAGGGTTTTAATCATGAACTAATATTTACATTATTTATTTTATCTATTAACTGTAGGTAGGTACTGATTTCGTCGAAAGGGTTGCTTTTACTTGAAGGTTAATAATGGACAATTTTTTTATTTTTATTTACTTAATTTTGATGAATGAAGCTGTTCATTGTTTTTTTGTTAGGTCGGTTGATACATACATATTCAGACTGTTATTTTGAAAGAAGATTGGTCGGCTAACGATTAGGCGGATTATCTGATAGTAAGCAATCAGCGTCGCCCATGGAGACCTGCAACAACAGAGGAGTTAAGAGTGCGTTGCCGACCTTTTGGCGATTTGGGAGATTTAGAGATTTGGGGAGGAGAAGGATTTGGCCTTCGGTTACCTCACTCACACGGCGAAACACAACGCTGTGGTTGTTTCACGCTGGTTTTCTGTGAGGTCGTGGTATCTCTCTGGTCGAGCCGACCAATTCGTGCCGAAGCATGGCTCTCCCACACTTGCAATTGTTTTTAACAGCAACTTTTGTATATTCTTATTGAGTGAATCAGTTCTTTGTTTGATCGTTCTATAGGTTCTATGCAATTTGGTTTAGTGCTAATAGCTATAAAAACTATGTTTTCGCCTATAATTTATTTCATTTAAGAAACTTTGTGTTCTTTCTTTAGTACTATAATGAAGATAGTTGTAACCTGATTCGTCACATTTACAGAAGCATTAGGATTTGCTCTTGTGTCGTTGGTGCGTTAACAAACATACAATTTCACATACTTACACATCACACCCGGACCTGGAACAACAATTTGTAGATCACACAAAGAGTTGTGTGTGAGAGAGATTTCTATGAAGAAATAACGAGTAACCAATATAGAAGGTTGTCCCAAATTTCCTTCTTAAGGACGTTTTATATTTAAAGAATGTGGTATCTAACAGTTGATATTGTTTCAGTGGTAGGAGAATGGGGCGGTGGCGGTCCACCAGGTGGCGAGTGGTGGGCGCTAGGTCTTGGAGCTGGACTGGGCGCTCTTGGCGTACCAGCGCCGCTGTGGCATGACGCTGAACCTGCTGCCGCCTTCAGAGCGCTGTTGCACAGGTAGATAGCTGACATAGTTATATAATTTTATATAAAAATAAATAACTAGGTTAGTTTCTATGTTTTTTTATGTGATAGATTAGAAAACGGGCTCACGGATTACCTGGTCGTAAGCAATCAGCGCCGCCCATGCCCCTGGATCTGCAACAACAGAGGAGTTACGAGTATGTTGCCGCCCTTTTGGGGATTAGGGATTCGGAGATTTCGGGAATGGGGGAGGGGAAGGTTGGGCCTCTGGTAACCTGACTTACATGGTGAAACCTAACGCAGTTTTTTTTCAAACATTTTCTGTGAGGCCGTGGTATTACAATACGTGGTATTCATTCTCCAAATAGTTTAATAACTTGCTCAAAAGATTAAGAACAAAATCTTCATGAAACCAACACAGATTGGGAGTTCATAGCTCATCTTAAACTGGTTTGTTTGTCCTTGACAGATATGTGTTGGCGCTTCCACCACCAGCTTTGCGTCCACCGGAGCCTGAGCCGGCGCCGTCTTCGCCTCCTTCACCTCCCTCGCCTTCACCCTCCCTTGCTCGTCTGGCCAGTGCTGAAACCCTGCGCCTCCGAGCCCATGATGCCCTCCTACAGGACCGTGTGGCACTCCAACACAATAACAAAGTCCATACGTAACCTGAACCAAGTGTGAGTGCCTGTGTTACACCTGAACATTTAAACACGTTGCTGTAGCGGTTCGTGGTTCTGTTTCATGTGGATATTGTTGGGATTTGTTCTAAACTTATAGCTCGGTGGCCTAACTGTACATGAAATATAGATATTTTTCTTACTGCTCGCTTCTAACTGGAGCTGCGAAATGATACATTGATCACTTCCATTCTACTACTAAGGTTAGCCAGTCATTCAGACAGTTTGCTTTACGCCAACAGTAGCCTAGGAAATTTAGTTAATTTATGTTTGACCTAGGATTCCTAGGTAACTAAATTGATGAATAACTTTTTTTTCATCGATCTCTCGATATACTAAATTGTTCATACTTTTTAGCTAATTAAAAAAAAACAAGCAAGGAGTTTCATACAAATTTCATAGACAGGTATCGTTTTTGACATTTGAATAATAAAAGTATTGAATTTGACTACGTTGGAAACTATCTTATTCTTTTAGGCGGGAAACATTCAACAATAAATGTCACAGCGGGGCAATTCTGCAACAGAAAATATAAAAAATAAACATAAAAATTGAGCATAAATCCTTTCAATATTACATTGAAATAAATGAAAAATATCGAACGTTACTTATAGTTATACACCGTAGGTGGATAGCCCGTGTATTTTAGTAGGTGCACAGTTTTATAAACTATGAGTGCATCTAAATATATTATGGAAACATTTATTTGTATATTGCACTGTGTAATCGTACCTAGTAACAATAAGATGTAGCACTTAACACTCTGTACCTATATTTTGCAGCGAAAATAAATGAAAAGCAGTAAATTCGAATGTACATATTTATGTTTTGTAATTAATATTTCTTGCAATTTGTGAAATGAACACACGAACCTTGTACACACATAAATGTGTACCAACATTTTTTTTAAACGTTGCCCGACATTAGGATTTGCTCCTGTGTCGTGGGTGCGGTTACAAACATACAATTTCACATACACATGACACCCAGACCCGGAACAACAATTTGTGGATCACACCAAGAGTTGTTCCGTGCGGGAATCAAACCCGCGACACGTTGCGAGGCAGCCAGTTGCCCAGCCACCGTGCAGCCTTCATTACGTTCATTCAACATTCTTTGTAACAAATATTAAAAATAAAAACAATCGTCAACATAATCAACAAAAAAAAACATTTTAAAAAAACATCATCAAGATCAGTTCTGCGAACAAACGTAAAAAAAAAACGTCGAATTGTTGAAACCTGCTCCTTTTAGGCGCCATTTAAAAAGTGATTTTAAATTAATTTTGAAAATATTGATAAGCAAAATTTGTTTGGAAATAACGACTTACGACATGAATATGGGTCCCGGTGTGTCTTGAAACTAGTAGAGCTTTTGTCATTTAATTCACGTGAGTAAGTCGTTTTTTCCAATAAATTTTGTGTCTCACTTCATCTATATATCGTATGCTTAATAGAAAAGAGGCATAACACAAAAAATAAGGTATTTGAATCTTAAAAATAAAAATTATGTTTCAATAAGGTTCAATTTTGATTTACCCTTATTTATGAGTTAGTTCTATTTTCTATTATGCGAATATTATAGTTTTTATTATACTTTTCAAAAATATTAAGGATAAATTTATTTCCATCCACTTGCACCAAAAATTCAAAATTAATAATTAAAAACCTTATTTGTGTTTTTCGAAGGACTAGATAAAGATATACCACACGGTCTTTGCCTATTATTGTTTGAAAAAAAAAACATTAATACAATCACCTACCACAAAAGCCATAGATTAATGAGCGATTGGAATGCTAAGTGTAAGTAATAATATTTTCTTGGAATTTTACCACCGGGATTTAAACTTTCTGAATCACTTGCAATGTCTTTAGGAATAACTTCTGTCATTCTTAGGAGTGGTTGTATGTGTTATATTTTCTACAGATAGAAAATTATTTTTAACATTGTCTTAATACTAAATTCGCATTTATGAGAAGGAGCATGCTATTTTTAAGACATGTGCCTTAAAGTTCAACGTTATTCTATTGTACTCTAATTATGAAATTTCATTTAATTAACATTCTATTAGATCTCAACATTTATTGTAGTCAAGTAGATTAGTTTATCAATGTAAATAGAAAAATATAATCTGAATTATTTATCGTTACCATGTAAAATAAAGACAACTTGCTTTTGTAATACTGTAGCTGTTTTTACCCACCGATAAGTTTTATTAATTTTAAATACATACTTAAATATGCATAGTTTAACTGCTTCTATAGCTAATATAGCATTCAATATTTTAGACTTGGGATATTTGTATAAATGACGTCATATTGATTAAATCTTCTGTTCAATAAGGGGTGTTGTTTTAGTTAAATAACGATTATAAATAACAGTATCAAGTGTGGTTTAAATAAATGTAAATATAATTATAAGTTTAATATGTACGTATGTATGACAAGAGCTGTGTTTTGTGACTAATATTTTATTTGGAATTTTGACAATTTAATATTGTTTACGCACTCCATTCACTACATACTCCTCGCTTGCAATTTTAGTGATCGTAAAATTATAAAAAATAATAAGTGTAGTATGTATTTTTAATCTGTATCTGCATTTATTAAATTAAGGATTGATTTTTCAATAGACAGGTAAATGTTATCTGAGGAATAAAATTGTTGTTGTCACTTTTTTTCTGTCAACATTCTGACGCGATGGCGATAATAATAATTATAACCCAGATAACTTTTATCTAACCATTGAAAAATCAGCCCTTAATATAATTTATCACTGGCATTAATGATTGTTATGACATAAATTAATTCGCATAGACAGAACTTAGATAATTTGAGTAACCTTGAAAAAGACGTAATACATTGCCTCCTATCTATAAACATGTCCGCATCTCTTGTCAAACATACGAAACAATGGATTGTACATAATGTAAATTGTATCGTCTGATTGTAGAGCACTCACACGCATATACCGATGTACGTAAATATATATATTTATTGAATCGATTAGAAGTAGTCAGTTTTGCAATAATGTGTCAGTGTAGTCGTGTTGAATAATACAAAATATAATATCGTAAATAACCAATATGCTGTTTTTTTTTCGAACCTGTAAATTATATCTTTTTTTATTTATTTATTTTATACAAAGTATATTTAAAATATTATCGAGCCGATCCATTCGTGCCGAAGTCGAAGCTTGGTTCACCCACACTTCATTTGGCCATTTGAGACAAACGACGTTGTAAATAGGATCTTAAGGAAGGGAGAACTTGTGCGTCTTTTATGGGGTAAGTTTTGTGGCGAACATCGGCTTATGTTATGGAATGGGCTTCCGTAAGATAGGAGGAGTTACAAATGCGTTGGCTATCTTTTAAGGATCAGGGGTATGAGGATGGGTGTATGGTTTAGGCTCCTGGACCACGAAATCACGTGGTGAAAGCAAGGCAAGTGTTGTCACAGCCTGGATTCTATGTAACCGTGGTGTTACTTTGGTCAAAGAGGCATCGCTTTGCAGTTAAAATACTCTAAACGATGGGCTTGCCATTAACGGCCGGCACTTAAAAACAAAACTTGAAATTGTGTTAACTAACCTAGTATTAATTTTTTTTTTTTTTTTTTTTTTTTTTTTTTTTTTTTTTTTTTTTTTTTTTTTTTTTTTTTTTTTTTTTTTTTTTTTTTTTTTTTTTTTTTTTTTTTTTTTTTTTTTTTTTTTTTTTTTTTTCTTCTGCTGGTGGAAGTAAAAGACGCGGGAAAAGTGTCTCTCCCAAAAATAAACAATATCTTTATTTTTGTTGGTATAAACATCAATATTTTACAATAAATACTTGCTGAAAGGCACTACCCGCTGGCTTGTGTGTTTGCATCACTTTTAAATCCTACAATCAAGAAGATGGAGGCACTGCACGGAACACTGGCTGAGTTGAGGTCAGAATTCAGAGAAAGGATGTCAAAATTTGAAGCGGATCTCAACAAAACACCATCCGTTGCATCTGGTGGTGCTTCTTCAGGTCTGGTGCAGGACTATGCTGCCTTTAAGCGTTTCACTTTTGACGCACTTGAATGTATTCAGCGGCAAATGGAGTTTTTTGCCAGAGACCTTGATGCACTGGAGATGAGAGGCCGAAGAAAAATCCTACTGTTCCACGGGGTTCCTGAAACCACAAAGGAGATCACTGCAGTGGTGGTTGCCAATGTTATCAAGGACAAGTTGAGTATGGACACATTCACTACCTCTGATATACGCAGGTGTCACCGAGTGGGCAGCCTCACCAGTAAGACACGTCCAAGGCCCATACTGGTGAAAATGCAGGATATGGGTATCCGGGACAGGGTTTGGTACAGCAAGACCAAGCTGAAGGGCACTGGTATCACACTGTCTGAATTCCTGACAAAGGCACGGCACCAGGTCTTCATGGCGGCGCGGGATAAATTTGGCGTATCTAATTGCTGGACTAAGCAGGGCCACATTCATGTCCTGGGACCAGATGGCGCCAGGCACCGCCTACTCAGCCTTAGTGATCTGCGAGCTATCGGCGAGCCTGCGACAATCCCTGAGCGGTCTCCCACGGTGGTCCAGAGGAAGAAGCGCGGTGCAAATAAAAAGTGATTTTATGCACTTGCTTCGTTCGGGTAACAAATCCACTTTTTATTTTCTTTGTCTGAGCCAGAATCGGTACCTTCAATATGTATCTATTACTGCTTATTGTATTTTTTCGTTATACCCGAAACAACATTTATTTTATTTTATTTTATATTCTGATTGTTTTCTGTTTACTGTTACTGGCATTTGACAGTTAAGCCGTCAAATGTCAAGATTAGCAACGTTCAAGTTATCATACATCTGAGGCGTGAATTGTCTATGAAATCATAGACAATTTCAATGCTGATGATGTCAAATATTATTTTATTCGATTTTATTATATTTTCTCTATACCCTTTCTTGTTATTCTTCTTTTCTGCTCTTAATTTGAAAACACATCATTGTGTTTA